CCTGACAGCACTTTCCAGAAGCCGGGCAGTTTGGGAGTATAGCATGTAGGCTTTGGATACAAGGAGGCCGTTGTCAATATTTTTGTCTTTCTTCTTTTTAAAACTTTAATTGTAAAGGTGCTATCCAGAAGTGTTACAGTTACATAAGTAAGGTAATGAGTACATTTCTTGCTGAGCATGGTTACCCCCTCCATTTTTCTCCCACTCTCCCTTTCCCTTTCCTATCCCCCCGCCCCCAGCAAAGTTGCTAAGTTCAGTTCCAATATAGTGTCTTGTGGGTATCATTGTTGCATTGGTCCCCCCCCCCGCCTTGTCTTTGTTTCATATTTTGCTATTTCTCTTCTCTTCCCCCAAGTCAGATAAATGTATATACAAGATGCAGGTTACCAGAATCAAAGACGGTCATTGCCAGGGATAAGCCAAAAGGAAAAAGAAAAAGGAAATAAAATAAAAAAATAATTTGATACAGTACATTGATGACAACAAGGTCAACAACCTTGTTGTTTCTATGTCTTGGAGTTCATTTCGATTAGCATCATTTTATATGGTCATATGTACATAGCTGTTGAGCTATTGTGATCCTCTGCTAGGACTATCCTAGACATGTACTAATTATTACAAATGAGGGAAACCATGGGGCCTATGTTTCTTTGGGTCTGGCTTACTTCACATAATATGATTTTTTTTCCCTAGTCTTTCCATTTCCTTACAAACTGGGCAATGTCATTCTTTCTGATGGAAGCATAGAATTCCATGGTGCATATATACCATATTTTCTCGATTGATTCTTCTACTGAGGGGCATCTGGTTGGTTCCATATCTTAGCTACGGTAAATAATGCAGCAATGAACATAGTTGAAAATAAGCTGGTTCAACCACTCTGGAAAGCAGTATGGAGGTTCCTCAAAAGACTAAACATAGAACCCTCCTATGATCCAGAAATCCCACTTCTAGGCATTTATCCAAATGATCACAAGCAAGGCCATACTAAAGCTACCAGCACAACTATGTTCAATTTTTTTTCTAAAGGCAATCAAGGGAAATCCTCCCCGTACCCAACAGCTTCTGGAATTCTGCCATTTGTCCTTACACATACAGTCCAAGTTGCCTCCACTTGCATTCGAGCAGGCTTGAGATGGATGCATCCGTGACTGACAGAATATTGTGGGGTTGGAGTTGATGGTTTCCAAGGCAATGTCACGAAAAGCTTTGAAATGTCTGCCTTGTCAGCAAAACCCTATGTTCCAAGGTAATCCAATGACCTGTGGTTGCCATGCTACAAGGAAAACCAAACAACATTCACAAGAAGGACCTGGGAGTATATCAGAAGCAAATGGCTCCAGAGTTGCTGTCCTCCCTCCTTCTGCTCATAACCAGCTGGCAGCACTTTACAGCATATCCCAAGTCAGAACCACCCAACCACATCCTTCACAAGAAACTCTAAGAGAAGCACATTGCATGCATATGTATTGTGTCATGATGAAAGCACCTATTATGTGCCACTTATATATGTCAATATTTTTAAAGACTTAGAGTATTTACATGAATATTGGTGCTTTAAGCCACTGGATTATAGGTAATTCAATATGTACACAGGGTGAATAAAACAAGAACTGAGTAAGGATTCTGGTTTTTCCAGTTACTGTGTATCCAGCACTAAATTGCTTCATCACTCTGGGCCTGTATTTTGTAAACTTGAAAATAAAGTTTAGCATATCACTACCTCCTTGGTCAGAACAAATGATTGTAAAGCACTTAGCGTAAGCAGGGTCTAGGAAAGCATCAATAAATATCAGCTGGTGGTATCAATTATTCTGTTATCTGATTCTCCTTGTGCAGCCCAGGTGGGAATGTTTATAGACTGTTGACTATTTCCTTCTATTTGGCAATGCATGTTTTCCTTATTTTGATTCAGCTTTGGGAATAATCAGGAGTAACTGTAACTTGCTTCCTAAGGCCTTTACCTGAGCAGTGGACACATACTTCTTTGGCAATGATCCGTCCACCCCCTCTGGCTGCTTTGGGGCTCTATTTCCAAGATATCTTGCTCCGCAGCAATCACTGCAAAGGTCAGCATGGATGTCAGCCTTTGTGGATGAGTGGCCATGCTAGTAAGGGCCTGATTGTTGTTCTGGTCATTCCAAGACAAATCGCCCTCTTGTCCTCATTCCCAGGCCCCGTTTCCCTGGAGCTGTCTACAATGAGGACACAAAGTTCCTCAAAGCCACTAATCTCCCCTGGGTTGGTAGAGCTAAGCAAACAAGTTTGGAGGTGCATCATGGGTATTCCACCTTCTTCCAAACAATGTAAACCCTAGCATTTTCTGTCTTGCTTTCAGACCAAGTCCTCTGTAGATGAACCATAGGTAACTCTTCATCCTATAATAAAACACACATGCTATGATGTTATGTGGGACACTTCTGGCCACTGAGTTTGTCTGAATGCAATTTGTCTCAATGCAGATATTAGCAGCAATGAGCGCCCAGTGCACTATAAAGAAGATTGCTACAGCATCTGCTCAAGATAAGCCAGGAGGCCTGGCTTGGTAACCCCTCACTTCACAGCCTAAACCCAGGTCATTGGAAAGGATGCTGCTAATCGGCTGGAAGGCACTGCTGATAGGTGAAACAGTGGGACTCCAGTCCAGGGAACCCACCAGGGATCCTAGAAACAACATGGCTACTCCACCTGTGAGAAATCAGATTTGTCCCATCCTCTCAACCCCTCCCCACCCTCTCCATAGGCCTGGAGTGGAGCCAAAGGCTCTATTTCAAACAGAATGGACTCATACCATGCTTGGACCAGAGAGGGTGTGAATTACTATCTGAGACCAAATGTATTTGAAAACTGTGACGTGATGCAATCACAGACCTGCTAGAGTTCAAGTGTGCCCAGGAAGATATGAGACCTGCTGGTGCTTTCATGCACATCTCCCACTGAGAAGTATTATAATCACCATGATAGAGAAAAAAATAAGGCAATTTTTGATATTAAATGTCATGAGTTCAGCTGGGATATTGTATCCTTTACAGTGCTATTAGTTCTTTGCAAGGGTGAAAATAGCTCCTAGTGTGGTCTCCCAGCATTTGTGTCTGCCATGGTGAATTTTCCCAGACACCTTGCTTGGGTCACAGGACTGAGGTATTTGGTCAAGCTCCAGGTTGGTCAAGCTCCAGGTTGGATGTTTCTCTGCAGGTATTTTTACATAAGAGTAATAGAATCAATTCACTTAGAGCAAAGGGGATTACCCTTCACCGTGAGCAGGCCTCAGGCAAGCAGGGTGAGCCTGAAGGAAAAGCGCCTTGAGGTTCCCTGAGAAAGAGGATATTGTGATTCAAAATCCAGCCATGAGATTGCATGAGCCATCCACTCCACGGGGGGGGGGGGGGGGGGGGGAGGGGGGGGGGGGGGGGGGGGGAGGGGAGGGAGAGAGGGAAAGAGGGGGGAGGGAGAGGGAGCTGAAGAGGGAGAGGGAGAGGGAGAGCGGGAGAGGGAGAGAGAGAGAGAGGAAGTAGGTTTTTCTCCTTTCTTTGTATATACATATATGTGCATGGATATGTTGTCTCATGGAGAGATACAAAGCGACAGTGGCAGGTGTAGGAAGAAGAATGGATTTATGTCATCTACTTTGCGCTGTGAACATCCTAAAGGGACCATTTGAAGTCACCCTGGGAAATGCTGGGTTCTGTGACTCAAGCTAGACATTATGTAGATCATGTAGATCTGTGCTCCTGTGTAGAAGGCCTGGTGACCAGCATGTGGTGCTGTTGGGAGCTGGTGGAGCCTTTAGGGGGAAGGGACTAGTGCAGCAAAGTGACATCATTAGAGGCATCTTTGGAGGGTATCTTGGGACTCTGGCTCTTCTCTCCCCCATCGCTCCGGCTCTCTGCTTCGTGGCTGCCCACAAAGTGAGCAGCCTCCTCCACTGTGTTTGCCTTGGCAAACATGATGTCTGCCTTGCAAAGGAGACAGAGCCAAGCGCTCGTGGAATGAAATGTCCCAAACCATGAAACCATGACAGTAAATCTGTCCTCCTTCTAAGTTGATTTTCTCAGTTATTTTGTCATAGTGACAGAAAGGTGACTAATACAACAAAGAGGCAACCTGGACACTTGGTCGCCTGGCAGGACCTGAAGAGACTTTGACTAAACCCATCTTGAGAGCTGAGGGCTACGGGGCTGGAGGGCTGCTGAGGTGCCCATCCTTCTATAGGCTGGAAACGGGAGCTGATAGGGGCGTGTGTTCGTCACCACCTTGCAGAGAAATGCACCAATTATATTCTGGAGAGTCCTGACTTCATATAGTGACCATTCACTCTCCTACCAATCTCTTTCTCTATTTCCCCCTGTCCGCCTTTGTTCCCTTCCTCTCTCTGATATACACACTCTCTGTTACTCCCTCTCTTCCCTCCCTATGTGATATGTATATATGGATGGATATCTATGCACACAAATATTTGATACCTGACACAAAGTTCCACTTATGTTCATTGAATTCATTATCCTGATTCAAGGATCTTTCTTTCTCTGTGATTTAAATCGTCTGGTGTATTATAAATCTTCAAAGAGCTTACAGAATTTCAGGTATTTATTATGGTAAGTACAGCATTTTGAACTAAAATCCACAGTATCGCATATTTAAACATGCAAGGGAAAACACAATCTTTAAAGATCCATCCAAGCAGAATCCACTCAGTTGGTTTTCTGGGGGCACAGCAGACACTTGCATGTGGCATCCGTGACACGTGCAGATCAGGAGAATTGAATCCTGTAACGTTTTCCCTGTTCACTCCATCGTGTCGCCTGCCGGGTTCGCCAGTGGAACAGCAAAGACGCAGAGCTCAGAAAAGGTTTTGCACGACTGGGCCTTTCCCCACGATAGCCACAGTCAGGTTCAACAGCTAACAGGAGGAGTCAAAGAGATCACAAAAGGAGGCCACTGCGGCCCAGAGGTTGGCCTTCACCTGCTCTGGGGTTCCGAGCCTTCCTCTGCCCCTCTGTTCAGGGAGAGGCAAGCTTGCCTGCGAAGAAGATCACCCCGGTAGAGATGTCCATGATGAAGAACAGGAAGGGATGGTTGGCCACAAAGCGGTCTCGGATGGGGAGTCTTTTGACAGCCACGCTCTCCCCGCTGGCGGCCGCGGCCTCGGTGCCCTCTTCGTTGACCTCCACGTAAGCCTTGTGGACGACCTTGGACAAGAACAGGCCTGGGTCCGGGGACATGCCAGAGAAGTCGGCTCTGGCCTGGTCGAAGATGTCTGTCATGCCTAGGGCTTTCAGCAGGGAGTTCAGCTCGTACTTGTGGGTGAGTTTGAACCTGGGGATATGCACCTCCACCTCGCGCTCCACCAAGGTGGAGGGGCGCGTCCATTCCCGGAACGTCCTGGCATTCAGCTGCTTCTCTATCTGAGAGACAGAACGCACGCAGGTGAGCCCACAGGAGCCAGATCCGCTGAGGCCCTGCTTCTGTGACTGTGAATGGGAGCGGTTCCAGCGCATCCCCTTCTCCCGTATTACATTGTATTGGCCTGACACGACTGTTCTTTTCTCCATGGAGAACAAGAACAGCGAGTCACATTCTTCATGCTAAAATAATATGTTTTTTTTTGTTTTCACTAAATAAATAAATAACGCGGGGGTCTGGGGGCTCACGCCTGTCATCCTAGCTACTCAGGAGGCTGAGATCTAAAGATCATGGTTCAAAGCCAGCCCAGGAAAGAAAGTCAGTGAGACTGTTATCTCCAAGGAACCACTCAGAAAAACGGAAGTGGTGCTGTGGCTCAAGTGGTAGAGCGCTCGCCTTGAGCTGAAGAGCTGGACAGCGCCCAGGCCCAGAGTTCAAGTCCCACGACCGACAAAAATGAAAAATAAAAAATAAAATAAATAAAACATGCTCTCGTTCCTACCTATCTGGAAAACAAACGTGTTGCATTGCACGACGTCTTCATCTGTGTTTCATTACTAACCTGCAATGTGCATTCTTGCTTCACTCAGCAATTAGGCCATATCCAAATATACTCTCTGTGTGTGTCTGTCTCTGTCTGTCTGTCTGTCTGTCTCTCTCTCTCTTTCTCTCTCCCTCGCTTTTTGTGTTAGTACTGGTGCTTCATCTCAGGTCCTGGGTGCTATTCCTGACCTGTTTTTGTTCAAGGATGGTGCTCTACCACTGGAGCCCCAACCACACATGCAGCTTTCTGGTGCTGAATTGAAGACAAGAGTTTCATGTAGTTTCCTGGCCAGGCTGGCTTCAAACTGTGATCCTCAGAGTGAGGCTCCTGAGAAGCTAGGATTACAGTCATGAGCCACCAGGACCAGGCTTAAATGTCTCTCTTGGTTGCCTTTGAGGCCATCATTTCCTGCATGAATTCAGTCATTTGTTCCCTGTCATCTATCCTGAAATAGTTAATCCCACTCTTCTTCCCGTCCTTGGTTCTCATTGGCCTCTAGGACATCTGTCATTCTGTTACTCTGCCCCGGGAAGCTGGCCTTGTGTGCTCGCTGGTTCTTTATGCTTCTCCCTAGCTTTTCACCCCCACATCCCTGCTCAGCTCCCCAGTGCAGCCTCACCAGGCCAGCTTCTCATCCTCCCTGCTCCTTGATCATCCTGGTCAGTCCTTACACACTCCCCTTGGGAGCTGTCCACCCAAGAGCCAGCCCCCACCCTGCTGTCAGGCCCAGCATTCTCATCCTCACCTGCCAGCCTCACAATAGAAAATCTTGTGTAAGAGAAGTACAATCTCAGTTACCGAATAGGGATTGGTGTGTGTGTGTGTGTGTGTGTGTGTGTGTGTGTATGCGCGCACGCCCATGGAGGATCTAGACAGCCATGTCCAACTGAACCCCTTTTCAGTCGTACTTTGTTCTTTGCTTCTCTAAGCTTATTGTAATGCACATGTTAAATAACAGTTCTTTTTCTAAGAGCTTATCTTCCAAAGTGTCTTTTCATTCATTATTTTCACTTTTCTGCCCTCATCCAGGTTACCAGGAACTCCTCGTGACCCCCATCTGGCAGCCTTGCCCTGCCAAGGCGGGGACAGGACCTGCTTCTGCATTTATGCACTACACCTTTGCAAGGCGCAAGTGGAGATTATCTGCTAGGAAACCTGCCCTTTGTAATTGTGTAGGACTTTCTGCTGAGTCTACATTGCTTCCAAACATCATATGGGTCCAAATGCCTTCCCTCCAAGCTAGCTGCAGGCACCCTAGCACCTGATCCTTCCCGCGTGTCCACACCTGCAAACATACCGGTTTCCATGGTGACCACTGTGCTCCTCTTACCACAACTCCCTCTGTCTCATTTAATCCCAAAGCACACAGCCCAGCCCAGTTCTTTCAGGAAACCCTCCCACTTTCCCTTCCCCACCCGGACTCCTCTGCTTTATCCTAAAGCCAGCAATTTCTGGCTTAGCAATTCACTGACTTAGAGAAACCCCTGCTGTAGCTCTCCCATGAGTCAGCTTTGCTGGTCCAACAGGCTCAGCTCATCTCCTCAGAAGCCATCATTCCACAGAACGCTAGGAGTTTTCCAGGGAGGTCTGGGGAAGTGAAGGGGTCACTCCTTGGTCTTTCTGTGCTAAAACTTTGCTGCAGACAAAGAGAAGGGTCATCTCCTAACAACATTATGACCTTTTCTTCATGGTCTTCTCCTCACCAAACCAAGACATGAATATTGGTTAGCCATGAACGTTGCTCCAACTTGATCAGAATCACTGCCCCTTGGAGGAAGGTGGTCAAAGCAGATTTCCATGAACTAAGAGCCCAGCTAGCATTGTGATTTCATTACTACAGGGAGTCTCTCTCTAGTGTCAAAGCCCCTGTGTGTGTATGTATGTGTGTACAGTGTATGTACAGGCTGGATGTACAGCCTCTCCTAACTAAATAAGTTGTACTGATTGGAAGAGTCATGATTCCTTCTTCTTAGATCTTTTCAGACTATTCTGCTATGCGTAGCTCATAAATCAGTGCTCGACTACACAAACATGATGTGATACAAAACATGTGTGTGTGTGTGTGTGTGTGTGTGTGTGTGTGTGTGTGTGCTTTTAGCTGCATGCAGCCACTCGAGTGATCTTACCTGGTCTAGATTCGCTGTACCTTCTGGGAGCAGAATAACCATGCTTAGCTCGTTAACATAAGGCAGTTCAAGGACTTGCATATATGGATTCTTTATGGAGGCTATCTTGAATGTTCCAGTTTGGTACATCATGTCTACCATCACACTCTTACCCTGTTAAAAGAAAGATGGTAATTAGATAGTATGTTGCATAAGTGAATGGATAGTAACTATACCATTTTCTTGAATAACATATCTACCTGTATTATAATGTACTCTAAAGGCAGGGGTAAAGTATAAACTATATAAAACTATATCCTTGTTTAAGTTCCTTACAAAACATACCTATCCTCAAGACAGAAAAGATAAGATATATCTTTCCTCAAGATAGGAATTTTTATTTTAAAATAGGTCAAAGTTAGAGACTAGATAGAATGTGTATGTACAAGAGGTAGCTTCAAGCCTACCAAAAACAAAGAGAGTTTCCAGCAAAATGATTTTTATATAAAATAAAATCATAAGATCATTTTATTTTTAATATATTTAGAGAAGGAAAAAACAGATCATTTTATTGTGCTCCTAAAGAAAATACCCACTACCCACACTGCAGTTGGACAGAATGCACACAACAGATTTCGCTGTCCAGGCGTTGCATTGTCTGTGGTCGTTACGTGCCCTGTGAGAAAGATTACTGCTGCTAAGGGAAACTTATTTTTAAATATGAAAGAATTAAATTGTACACCAATTCAGAGCAATATTTTCACTCTTTCTGAACTATTCTGAAATGTGAACTGTGTGCCTCCAAACTTCTCATTCGTCTGAAAATGAATTACTTGCCTCACTTAGCTGAAATGGAGTTTTCGTGGTCTCCTTTTCCTGAAATTTATTTTGCCATTGTCCTTTGTAATATATGGCACTCACCAGGACCATTACAGAGGCAGGGTCGATGGTGCCTTTTCCAAAGAGGTTTTTTACTTTTCCTTGTATAAAAACAAGACAGAAAAAAGGTAATTTGAACTTATTGATATCAGACAGTTGAATAGTCACAAGTAACTTAGACATTTTTTTTCAAATTAATTGTAATGTTGTTGTTCTAGAACAACTTTTTTGTCTCCCGGTGCTAGAGCCTTCCTTGTCAAAGGAAGTTATGCCAGTGAACCGCAAATACTTTATTGTTTTCATTTAGATAGTAACATTCAGGGAATAGGTAGCATATTAATAGTGAAACAGTGTCTTCCATGGTTATACACTGAGCATTGCTTCTTATTTAGAAAATTGTTTTTCTCATAGATTATCTTTACTGTTCGTCAAGTTCATACTTACTAACTGCTCACTAATTCAAGTAAATCAAAAATTAAAAAGATTCACCCATACTGGTAAATGTGCTAGAATTAATGGGTCACAAATATTCAGATACAGTTTAGGGAACATTTTTTTTTTCTAAACCAAGAGTTTACATTAAAATACCAGAAGTTGCTTGCTTTGTAAGTGCATTGATTGAAACAGTCACCTTGATGCATTTTAATGCATTGCAATCTAAAAGGCCTTTTTTGCAATATATTTTGTCATTCATACAACATGAAATTCAGGGATATTTGGTGCATTTTATCAAGATTTTGTTCTTGAAAGAGCTTTAGTCTGGACCTAACATAATATTTGGCATATATTAAAAATATGTATACATTTACAATAGTTTCTTCTCAACTAAATCTTTTTAAATAAATATATGAGCACACCTTTGTACCAAATATTTAATGGGCCATTTTTTAAAGAAAAATACTTAGCAATAGATAGAAGAATTTTTTAATTACAAAAAGTGCTCATTCTGGTTCTTGACATCACTTCGTATGCATCATTTAGGATAAATGAGGTATTCCAAATTACAGCCTTCATTTCCTTCCTTGTTGACTGGTTATCAGGTTCTAGACTATTATCAACTTTCTTACTGGCCTATTACCTCCAGAAGTTTATCAACACAGCTCAGATAACACTTGCAGACACAGGTATGTGCCTTATTCTTACCATTCGTTTTACTTTCAACCCAGGCATTAATAGATTTCCTCGTTTCTTCTACGGACTGGCCAAAATCAACACTTTGCAGCCTGGCTTGGTACAGTTTCTCAGAACAGCTTAAATATTGCTGTAAAAGAAAGGACAGCTGAGCAAACAACGACACGAGAAGAATGTAAAGGAAAACTTATAGCTAATGTATTACAGAATCCTCACAAACAAAAGCAACTCGGTTAACCAAGTTTGAATAGATTCAAAATCCTTTGTATTTCTTTTTAACAAAGCAAATAAATTTAAGCAAATTTAAAAGCTTTCTCCCAAAGTGTTCAGAAATATTTGGTGATTGCTTCTGGCATATCATTCCCTTTCTTAGTTCTAAAATGGTTATTTTTTTGTGCCTACCTGAGCACACTGTGAGGATTATATGAAGTAATGCCTATAGTGTATTAAGTAGAGTGACTGGTATATATCAACACTCAATAAAACTATGTATTGCTGGGGCTGGGAAGGTGGCTCAGTGGTAGAGCGCTTGCCTTGCATGCCTGAGGCCCTGGGTTTGATTCCTCAGCACCACATAAGCAAAAAGAA